CTATCTATCTATCTATCTATCTATCTATCTATCTATCTATCTATCTAACATTGCTCCTCCCCAACTCTTCCCAAGATTCCTTGATTTTTTTATGATATTGTGCAGTCTGGGTAAATATGCAAATCTCTTCTAAGCTTCCTTTGTGAATTATTCTTCACAAACACTTAATGACTTGCTAGTGTATTTGATGTCAAACGACTTGTTCTCTTTTACAGCCTTCAAATAATAATACCACGTCATTTTTTCTAATCACAATGGCATCCATCTTCAATGACATTTGTATTGTTTCTGCGTCAAGGACAGGAATTTTAACTGTGACAGGTATTTCAATAGTATTTTAAGATGTCTTTGTATTACCCCCGTTCAATCATATTTTTACAGTACAACAGGCCTTGGCCTTGTGTTGCAGCAACCCCATTTAAATACTTAGTCATTAATCTATACAGCAGCAAATGTGGATCCAAACCAGATTCATCCCAAATTAATTAAATTATTACTTAATTAAAATTATCATTACATGTAAAATTCACAAAGATTATTGCTAAAGTCTACATGCTGGTTTGTGCTAAGCGTTAAGCATTTGAAATGGACCTTTAGATGAGCAACACTGACATCTACTGATCAACTGGTTGACTTATTTTTCTTTCCCAGTGAACGATACAACTAAAGAAGAAATTGGCCAATGACAAAAATGTGATAATTCAAATGCCTTGTGGTAGAATTTCAGCTGATTCTAAACATTTCAGCAGGTATCCCTGCTGCGTCTCAGGGGTGTGGAGCCATTGGGTGAGAGGCAATTAAGGAAATATTATTACACCTGCATAACCATGTTTAACCATAATGTAACAATGTTTTAATTACTTTGCACCAACCTACGTGATCGACAATCTACTTCTCAAAAGCCTCTTTCTAGGTGGACAAAGCTTTTTTTTTCCAAACAAACTTGACAGCCACTCAACAATCACATTGCAGACGTGTCACCCCTTGATGAAACCAAACTTTATTTCAAGTCCCATGAAAACCATTGAAGCAAAATGCTTAAATGAGGAAAAAGGCATTACACTCTTCACATTGTTTCTCTTTTCCCTGCTGCGCTGACGGACAGCAGGTTTGTGCGACAGCAGGATAAGACTGACCCATATTGCCTTTCATAGCAACATGAAGGCCTGAAGCGTGCAAGGGTGGAGGAGAGATAGCCGGACGTGCCACGATAATCTCCTGTGGACGGTATGTAAAGGAGTAAGGCAACAGCTCTCCAGACAGCTGTCAGTGACTGGACTACATTCGCCTCTTCAACATCACGACGCATCTGGTACATCTTCACAGTGGACTATCTTCTCCACCACAAGCAGCGTTTTTAGCTTCGTGACAGTGGAGCAAAGACACTTTACAATCAGCTGCAAGCTTCTGTATGTGGAGGATCCCCACAGCACCTTAATTCATTGCACTCTGTTAAAAACAATTTATTAGCTATTCAAGTTTACCCCCTCTGTTTATGACGGTGTGTTGGGGTCTCAAGCCTCAAATGGCAGAAAAAGATAAGGATATAATCTGTTTAAACTGAACAGTAAGGATGGGGACGGAGAGCTAAAACAGAAAGTTCTAAATGTCCTAATATACAATTTAATAACTCTAAACGTTAGGCTTGTAAATGTGAAATAATACTGTGTCTGGATAAAGTACAAATATAAAAATGCACCTTTGGTGAGTTTGTGACAAAGGGTGCAGGGATTATCAACAGCAAGTGCACTTGAGGATCCTTTCAATTTGAAAAAATTGCCTTGCTTCTGACAAGCAAAAGCAAAAATGTCGGCTTGTGGACCGTTGCCGACTGATTGTTACAGTCTGGTTCTGTTACAGATGGCGAGGCCAGCGACGGGTGGCCTGTTGATCGTGAATTCTGGGAAATTCTGTCTTTCTGCTGTATTATTCTGCCTTATCTTTTTCACCATCCACTGGCTTTACTGGGTCCGGATCATCCAGCAGGGCTTGTTGCCGCTCCCTCTCCTTCACCAGCTGCACACCACAGTAGGTCACAAGCAGCACTGACAGGGTGGACAGAGGAAATCCTAAATAATAGGGAGGGGGGAGGAATAAGGGATTAAAAAAAAGGAGAGGGGAGAACACAGGAGGACATTTAAGGATTGGAGTGGGCGACTTTAAAATAACAGTAAGAATAAAAATAATAACAAGAAGAATTCTGAGATGCTGAGATGGATCATTTGAACCACCGTTTTGTGGTGAAAGTAAACACCTCACAGCTCTTTTTCTGCTTGTATTGTCCTGATCTCCCTTGGACTGGACGTGGAACAGGAGATACTAGTTTGCTAAAATACATGTTGTTCTCACCTTTGAATATAAGTCTTCTGCCAACCATTTTGGCAAACTCCAAACTGTTCAGGGAGAGGACATTGTAGAGGATGATGGTCCAGAAGTTGGCAGCGTTGAACACACCCCTGATCCTGCGGGACATGGCTTCCCCCATTGCTCCCTACACAGGAGGGGGGAGACAAACCGAGAATAATACGTTAATTATTGTCACCGTGTTTCAAATGCGGTTTTTGATATTAGTTTCGAATAAAGAAACGTTTTGCATTCAAATGATAGCTATTTCCATTGTCTCTTACCTCCACAATAGAAAATGGTGGAAGAGAGAATAACTTGGCCACCCACAGCTCAAAGTTGAGGCCAAAGCAGTTGAAAAATGACCAGATGTAAACCAGCTCACAGGGACCAAGCCACAGGGTCGTGATGGCAAACGTGGAGATGGTCGCGAGGAGTTCCTTGAAGATTTTATCATGATCTCCACCAATATAATCATAAACATACCTGCAAAAAGGATCAGCTTAGATAAACATTACAGTTTCTACATACTGTGTATGCAGGATCCTGCCGTTTTAAACCGAGGGATCTGAATCCAGCCACTCACCTGCAGAGCCAGTCATTGATGCCTCTGTCAAAGTGCCTGCAAATCAAGGAGTTTTTGTCTTTTAACGTTGATATTTTAGTTTAAAGGTTTAGTACGATGGGCAAGGAAAGTACACAGTGACTTCATACAGAAGTCATACTTACGTCTCGGCGAAGACGTAGAGCATGGTGATACACTTGGGAGGCTGAGGAGGGTCCAAGTGGTCAAGCGTAGCCACAGTGTTGATGACACCAAACATTACAGCTGCTTTCACCCAATCATACACCAAGTTGGAATATGCTAGTCCCGCTACAAAAGACAGAAAAAAAATAAAGACAGCGCAGATGATGAGTTGATGAGTATGGCCTTAATAAAGCCAACACAGAAATTCACAGATACCACATGCATGAAACCATCCCAGAGCTGGACTGTTAAACAATGCGTTATTGATTTTCGATCCAGTTTTTCTTTTTGAGCTTGACAGAAATCAAATTTGAGTGGTTATATAAGGCAAAGAGAAAACAACCTTGACCCGAAGGGTGCAGTTTTATAAACAGTTGCATTGCGATGCTTCTGCTTCAAACCGGCAAATCATCCAGTCAAACTTTGTGTAACCCTCACAACAGAGCTGTGTATTTATGGGATGTAAGGCTTTGTAATACATGGACTGTCTCCATAAAATGTTGGAAAATAATTCAACTTTTACAAACTTATTAATGTTGTGCACAGTGAAATTTAGATGTAACCCCTGATAGAATATCTGGCAAATCAACAGTTCAGAGCATCAGAGTAGTATTATTTGACCTCGTGCTGCTTGAGTGTATAACAGCACATGGACTTACACGCTGTTGTTCTATTTTGTGGACTGGTGTGCACTGGTTTTAGAGCCAACGTTTTGGGAGGCTGATTCATTTGTCAAATGAGGGTATAATTATATAAAGATGTAAAACACAATTACAAAAAAATCATTTTAGCTGCAGAACTATTCAACAATTAAAGGAAAATATGTAAATATAGTTTATTGTGTAATGTTATAATCAGTAGATATACACTGTTACATTCAGTAAATGCATTTTTCACTCACCTAGACACCAGTCAGAGAGCTTGGCAACCAGTTTCATGTCGCTGGGTATTGTCAAGATATAAAGATAGTGGAAGAAGGCATCCACCACCAGGATAGCTCCCAGGTGCAGCAAGGCCTTGGTGGTGATGTTCCACATCTCCCTCTCCTTGCGGGTTAGCTGAGTGTTGTTTGCCTGGGAAATGCAACCTTTCAGTAATGTGCTCAAGTCGACTACAGGGGGAATTGCCTCACATGGGACTGTAAATATTAAATGACCATAACAGCAAAAGAGCAATAACAGTAGCTGGATTACACAAATATTCTGATAGAACAGAAGATGTTTAACTGGATGCAAAAATAAATGGGCTAAAGTGTTAAAGACATCTAGATTACCAATAGCATTCAAATTATAGCGATTTTAAAGAGCTAAGATACAAATAAATATGTTTATTTTCAATTAATTTCTTTTAAAAAACAATGTACATTCAATATGTGTTTGATTTTATTAGCTGAGATTGGGATGTTATCATACATGTACTATCAATGCAACGTTAAGGTTTCATTCTGTTCAGTTCACCAGACCTTACCTGGACATAATAACAGTCGAAAGTCATCACAGGTCCAAAGAAGAAGAATGGGAGGTAGAAATTGTATCGCAGCAGGTCGGAGAAAGAGTAATTGCCCTCTTTTCTGTCACAGTTCTCCAGAGCAAAGCTCATGCAGCGCATGATGCTGAAGCCACAGCCTCCGTAGAACAAGATGTCTTGTAGGTCAAAAGAGCCGGTCACCAAGGCCTCCTGCAGAGGAACCGGTCCATGTGAGCCTCTGCTGTTTCACAGGTGTGTTACAGTACAGACCCTGGGACCGCCCTCTTACCTGCCAGGAGTTGTAGGGCTCCAGCTTGATGGAGGCCAGCGTGCACAGACCGGCAGCGAAGCACATCCATTTCTTCTTGACCAGCGCCACGCTGTAGAGGATGATGCAGTGCGACAGAACCAGAGCCACAAAGGTCCAGCCCATTGTAACCAGGACTGCCAAACCACCGTACAAGCCAAAGATTAAGGATCTGTGCTGTGGGTAAAAAAAAAAGGGGGGGGCCAGTGTCAGCGTGACATTAAAAAGGACTTTCTCTTAAATATGATTCAACATAACATCTACAACAAGAATGTTAGTAAAACATCACAACTGGATGAAACACATTAAGAATGATGATAAAATGATCAAATTAAAAATCAAAATCAAACTACTGTTCCAAAATCAGAAATAAAACTCATGACAAATGTTATGATATCCACAAGTTTATTAATGTTACCTTACATCCATCTATACCAATCTTCATTGTAAGCATGGAACAAGACAGAAAACATGTTTAAAACATGATGAAAAGTTTTAAATATGTCATCAATCAACAATAATGACAACTTCATGGGTACATTCAACATTCAACAGACAAGTCTCACTCTCAGAGTGCAGCTCATGCTCATGGATCCAGTGAACGGTTTGTTTGAGCGACATGAAAACATTATGTAAGCGTTTGAAGATCCCATTGACTTCCACTGGATCCAATCACTCGTTCGACCCAAAGCCTATTGATTACATGACTGTGTCTTTGCTTCACGGGGAACACCACATGCCCAATCAAAGCTGATGAATTGCCTTGATTCAAGCAAAGCAGGTGCCAGTTCACAAGCGTGCACACATATGCGCACGTGTCCAGAGCACACAGACAAGCTAAGCGTCTTTGGACGAGAGACACGCAGCTCATGAAGTCAAACCAAACTTAGCGTCAACAGCAGGGCTTTTAGACTAAAACACATGCATACGCACCTTCGGGGCTAACAGGGTAAATATCTTGGCAAAGATCACATGACCGGTGAGAGCAAAAAGGATATGATTGCGGAATGTAGAGAACCACATCACCCACTCGAAGTCTGCAACATCCTGTAACAGAGACAGATGCATTAGCAGAGCTTTACACGGCTGGTTTCAGGCATTCTGCAGAGGAGGCTAACCGGCACCACTCACCATTTTCCTGCCGAAGTAATGCCATCCTGGTTTCACACTTTCTTTAAAGGCCTTTCTGTTTACATTGTCTGTACAGGAGGAAATAAAGAGGAAGATGAAAGCGAAAAATTTGGCAGATTTTTACACTGGGAGGAGTGCTCCTTCAATAAGACAAGCTGATTTCATACAGGCACATCTACACAGGGCGGCTTTATTTCTGTGTTTTGTTTCATTGTATTTCAGGAAAACTCTCACTAATGCTTTGTGGGGAACAGAAGGTGCACGTAGTGTTTGTTTTTTTTAAGCTCTGCTCCGATTAATGGATTATGCACATTGTAAATTTAGGGTGTGAGAGCACAATTTGTCCGCTAGATGAAATCAGATATTACACAACGTGCTGAGCTTTCTATTTTTGAGGCTGAAATCTACAACCTTACTGGTCATAATCTTTTCAGGGAGATTAACCTGCTGTGTGGCCTTAGCAACATACCACAATACGAATTATGAAGATAATAGTCATTATTTAAACAAATAAAAAATAAATCAAGATCGCTTGCATGCACCCCTGGAGTAGCCTGCCCCCCCGGTTTAGCCAGCTTTCACTACACTAAAGGACATGAAATGTGAGGATCTTTACTGGGAAAGTCTCTCCCTTCTGGGCATACTGCCAGATGTTTGTTAGCAGTCTGCAACCGTGGCAGACCGGGGCTTTATAATGAAGCCATCGGACAGGCCATTTCTGGAAACTGGGAGCAAGTTCTTGAGAAAAACGGGACAAGGTGATGAACAAACGGGCCACAACTGGCCAGTATGACGGCACAGTCTGTGACAGACGGTGCCAGCCCCCCAGATGACACTTTGTCCATTCAGATTGTGTTTGTAGAGGCTGATTTAAGTGGTTAATCATCTTAATATGTGCAAATAGTTGGCATTATTTCAGAATTAGGGGTTTGGAGTCATTTGATTAAGCATGGTTTAGTGGGAAATATGTCCAACAAGGAAATAATGAGAAAACAAGTGGATCATCTTCAAATTAAAGTAATAAGAACAAGGCTAATTTCCTTTGGGTTTAATGAGCTGTGGGAACTTTGCTACATGGAGTTTTCAGATTAAACCGAGTGCAATAATAGAGGAAGACCTAGTTTTTGGAGCTGAATTTCAAGAGACATTCCCAATGGCAATGGTCTGGATCTATCATCCAGAAAACAGTTTAATGGATTAACTGATTTGTTTGCTTGTACTTCTCCTGTCCCGTTCTCTCACATTTTTTAAGGACAAGACCACTCTTTTGGCTCTGTGCCACCGTGTTTTAAATACATTCTTTAATGTTTATCAAATTGTATTGGCTCAGGTACTTTCAGGTGATGCATCATGGAAAAATTATTCTTTGGTACAGGTGGTTTGTACCAAAAAGATCATCTTAAAGTTGGGTTGTTTGCTAAATTGCCTGCTATTTATAGACTTAGCTGTGGTAATTCCTTATTTTTTTGCATTTTCAATACTTAATTCAAATATCTAGTGTCAGATGGCTCAGCAAATAAACAAATAAAAAAACTTTTTTCTGAAAATAACAGGGTGAAAAGCCAGCCAAGACCCAAAAAAAGGACTTCAATAGAAATTCAGCTAAACCAGAGAGAGCTGCTGACAACTTACTGAAAAGTTTACAGGAAAGGCTGACTTTATGGAAACCAAATGTGTGAACGGCAACGTGTGTGCGCTCTGGACATCTCTTGACAGCGTCGTGCACTCACCACTTGACGCTTCAAATATCCAACTGCCAGCCCATATCAGTGCCACCGCCAGTACAGCAGAGTACAGATACAGCTCATATCTGGGGAGGGCAGCCTTGATCCCCATGGTGAATCTGTTCACTGGAAGCCTGACGGGTTGGAAAGCAGTAAGCACAAAGCATTAGACGGGGAGGGGCACCTGACAGAAGGGAGATAAAATGGACAGGTATCAATTTGGATGCACAAAAGTTGAACAAATATGAGCTAAGGAAGTTAAAGGATTCACTGAGTCTGTGTTGTTTTTTTAATTTAATTGATCCTTACATGTAGTTTTAGGGGATTTGTAACGAATTGGAAGGACATCAGAATAAAAACATCTGAGAGCTTCAAGTAATCAATTGAAAAATTGTCTACCTTTAACAATATATGTGCATATATAGCCTATACAGTGGGGGAAATAAGTAATTGACCCCTTGCTGATTTTGCCGGTTTGCCCACTTACAAAGAATGCAACGATCTATAACTTTAATCATATGTACATTCTAACAGTGAAAGACAGAATACCAAAGAAAATGACAGAAAATCATATCATATGAATTTATAAAAATTGATAACCATCTGATGAGGAAAAATAAGCATTCTTTGTAAGTGGGCAAACCTGCAAAAGCAGCAAGGGGTCAAATACTTATTTCCCCCACTGTATGTACAGTATACATGTATGTGTATACATAAAACATCAAATTCAACTGCAGAAAAAAGAGCTCAATGTACACTCATCATATAGCAGGAAGTGAAATTTCACTTTGTGTGTGTTTTTTTTTTTAAGGGGGTGGCATTTAGCTATTAAGCCTTCAAGATCCGCACGCCTTTGACTTAAATAGGACTGCAGAGCTCCAGCTCCTCGGAATCAGCATCGTCAGCTGCGCAACCTTACCTCTCCTTCCTATTATAGCCCTCGCAGTTGGTCCACCGTGCAGCAGGGCAGCTGCGGTGCTATGTGATCTGCTGCGCGGGGGGACTGGCCTCACGGAATAATTAGCGCTGACTGGAGTGACCAAGAATGGCGCACAGGAATTAAGAAAAAAACTAAGGAGAGTTCCTCTCCACTGCAGAGCGGCGCGCTTGCGCTGTCAGGTCCGTGCAGTGCATTCAAGATGAAGTTAAAGGAGTTGCTCTAAGAAGTCCGGCAGGCCCCCGAGAGGGTGCAACCATGGCTCTGCAGCCCCCCCCCCCCAGCAAAGCGCCCTGCATGTAAATACAGGCGCAAAGTCTCCCTGTCTGCGTACACCGTTTGGTTAACAGACTAATTCTTATTATCTGGCTATTTTAACATCCAACCTGATAAAAAAAAAAGATAGAAGAGACTTTTTTTTTTTACCAACCTTGTGTCCGGTTCAGGCTGTCAGTTTGTCGGCAAGTGTGCTCACAGAAAGACTCCTTAATAGAGAATCAGAAGGATAAGGAGCAGGTTTATTTCATCCGTCTTGTGCGCAGGCTGCCTGCGATCAGCAGCCTCAGTCAGTCAGGATGTTGCGGACTGAGGGAAAGGAGAAGGGGAGGGGAGGGGGAGGAGGGGAGAGGAGGGGGAGGCGGAGGTGGGGGATATATATATATATCCTTCACTACAGCACCGCAGTGAGGGGTGGTCCACACAGAGCCCCTCTCACCGGAGAGGAAACGCATTCGTCCCCACGTTGCTCTTTTTCTTTCTTTTTGTCATACCTGAGATAGAATTCAAAAGATCACACGAGAAAAAATGAATAAAAAGTTAGAAGAATAGACATGTGATGATGAGCCTTTTGTTCCTCTGTCTGTGCATCCATTTCCTCTGTGACTCTGTGGGAAATCATTGGCGACGTGATTTATGGGTCTTTTGAAAAAGAAAAGTCAAATTTGGGTTAATGCCATTACAAATTGTGCTTCAAAGCTTTTATTTGCATTTTTGTATATGTTTCATTTTCTTGAGGTCCTTGTGGCCCTCTTAATAGTGATCCTCATTCTTGTTTGGGGCCACAGTTGTTTGTTTTAGGCTGTTTTATGTCTCTTATGATACAGTCTTCCTGCTGGGTCATGGGCCGCAGCCTTCCAGGCCTACATGGGGTCTACATTTGCAGTTTCTGTATTCGGCCTTGATCGATGGCGTTGACTTAAAATGAATGTTGCTGTTTAAATACCCACAGTGAGCTTTGGGCCTCACAACGCTGTTGGCACTGTTACTGGACCACAGGAGGCAGAAAAAGTGGCCCATATCGACCACAACATGTGTCTGCTGTTAAATAATCAATATGTAAAACAAAGAAAACAAGTAGGCGTCTGAATCTGCCTAAAACCCCCCCAAGTGTAAGATTCAATGGGCAGAACTTTTAGGAAACGTTAAATGGTAACTCATGGTTATGAGTTTGCTTTGTAACTGAAAAATCACAAATACAAACACAAAAATCCCATCTATATTGGATACTAATACATTAATTCTAATCCAAATGCAATTTACAGTAATTTATGTGACTTTACCATTTATATTTGTTCTTTCTTCAAAGGGTTTTTCAAATAGAAGTTTTGCAGTCAGTATGATTGATCTGACTTTGGATCATGCAAGGCAGATAAGACTAACAGATGAATCCTTATGACGCATGACTCATTTAATCTTATTCCTATCGGCCAGCCAAAGCGCGCTCCCGCGTCTTTTGTCCAGTTCCGTGCAGTCCATCACTTTTTGACACAACACCGAGTCCAGTAACTCAAAGGTTTTTCGAAATGGCGCGTTAGGTGGCGCTCCAGGATGTGAAAAAAAAAACGCACCAAAGGGAACTAAACGCTCCAGGGGTCTGTGGATCTTCCTAAAGTTTGAACTGTGTCTGCTTAAAGAGCTGCTGTTTACTTGTTGGACCCGCTTTGAATCGACGCCTTTTCCATAAAAGCGTTGTGTTAGGGTTAGGGTTAGCTGCGGTAATGACAGAGGGGAGTGAGCCTGGGAGAGCCGCGTCCTGCCAGATGCGCGTAGTGAGCCCAGTTTGCGCTGCCTGCCCGAAACAATCCGTCACAGAGACAAGCCGCCCCCTCCCACCTCCAGCGCCCCCGCTTCAGATGCAACTCAAAATACAGAACGCCTCCATGTTGCACGGGCACCGTAGAGCCAGCAGATGTGGACTATTTCCTAAAAGTATATGCCTTCTTTAACGTTGCGCAGCGTACATGTACTCGCCGTTTGTTTTTGGACGACAACAACCATCAGACGGGCTTCCAAGTGCTTTCCACACGGCCTCATATCTCGGCTGATCGGAGCTTCGGAGCTAACTTGCTAACACAGGCTACTTGCTAACTAAAAGTTTGGGTGATATTTAACGTCGTTTCTATTTTTAATTTTTTTTTGTAGACACGCGTTGTTTGTGCTGTCCACAAACACATGTTTGTAGCGATGATATTTTTCGGAAAGCCATAGATGACAGCTGTTCGCTGGCCTCCATTCACCGCCGTGCTAGCTGGCTGGCTACAACCGCTACCACAACACTTCGCCTCGGACGGTTTCCTGGCTTTGTGGGCAGGCTGGTCGTCCTCATCTCAAACTGCTAGCTTACAGTAGCCGGCTAACGACCAAGCGCGCTAGTACGAGTAACATTGTGGGAAACGAAACAGGAATAACCACCCGTCTCAATGGACCACATGTCCATAATAACCCAAGTTTCCAATCCCAAGGAGGAGGAAATAATTTCTTTTAACCAAGAAAAAGGTAAGAAAAACAACTAGCGACAGCGAACTAATGCTAGCTGGCTAACTACTTTTCTTAATTGACGTTAGCTTTTATTCGCGCTTGCTAGCTGTTGCTGTAGATTGTGGCACTGGTTGCTGATGTGAACAGTCCTTTCTAAACAGCTCAACGGTTCAAATATTATGTAGGCAACAAGTTTATTTAGAGAGGGCAAGTTCTGGTCAACTTAGGGAACTAGTTTATCGTTGGTACGCTTTTGTGTGTAGCATAAAGAAGACTAACGTGCGTCTATACAGTGACATACTGCCGCTAGTTACCCACATCAAAATAAGGTAAATAATGCCAAGCTTTTGCTAAACACCTGCATTATGTACCTCTGTTTGGTGGCTTGCCAATTGACCCGTCAGATGAGCTGATCCAGGTAATTCACGATATGAGTGACAGTGGTCAGTTTTCAGGTGCAGAGCACGGAGAGGTGCTGTCAGTGCTTTACGTAAAGGCTCAGGTAAACCTCAGGAGCGGTCTCTGGCACGATTACCTCTGGATTAGCACAGTTTTTGGGCTTAAACTGAGGCCAGTTCGTGTATCCGTCTTCAAAACGGATGCCAGTCATTGTGTTTTCACAGTGGTTGTTGTAATCAAGTCAAATCTAATTGCGTGTGCCTCAGTGTTTTTTTTATATGTTTACCATCAGCTTAAGACAAGCTCGTGATGATGGTTTTATAGGTTAACCCCTTTGTTCTCCTCTTCCACTTGGCCCTGATGTGCACAGGTGGTGGATGGATTTCCAAAGACTCTTATTCTAAGAGCTCTGACACTTTCCAGGTCACCCTGTCTGTGTTTGGGTCAGCATCTCCTGCTACCACCTTGCTGGTCAGACCATTAGTAATGTGAGAACTTAACTCTTTCAAGCACAACAATGCATCCTCCTCTGAGGGTGCATAGGTAGCCCCCCCCCCCCCCCCCAGTCACTTATGAGGAATTGAACTATTGATCTGAACATCTGTGGGCATCCTCAGAGATGATCATAATAGCCAAACGAGGCACCGCTGGGGGGGGGGGGGGGGTGGCCTGAACTATATTGCTCTGTTAGATAGAAAGCCAAATTCCTCAGAAGCAATAAACAGTCTAAGAATAGCTTCATGTTATTGCTCAACAAATACTGTCAAGACGGCTGCTGTTACTGTGACGGACATAAAAATGCCTTTGGAGCTTTTTCAAGTAAAGGATAGTTAATGTGCAAAAGCTGTGCTGTTGCACAGGATAAAACCAATAGCTCTGAAATGATGGGCCAGGGATAGGCTTGACTTTTAAAAATGGAAACAATTTAACTATTATATTTCCCTGTAATTATGAGTAAATTATGTTTACTATTCATTTTTGCAGTTTGCTCTTATGGCATTTTTGCAGTGTGAACATTTCCATGGGATTAAAGATGTATTCCAGGTCCTCCCATGACCTAAGAATAGTTTGATTCTCATCCCTAATGGACCAGAGGTCTGCTGGTGAAGTTATGCAATTCACTGCTCAGAGGGTATGAAGTCAGGTCTTGATTTGTTTGCCAACAGAGGTGTTTGAGCTGTGGTGCAGACACAGTCACACTGTGGTGTGACTCCACAGTTTGGGAAGGGGGGGGGCACCTTACTAATTAAAGGTGTGTGGAACATAGCTGAGGTACAGGACAGAGTATAGTGATGATGTCTGTCTTTGTTTCCTGCCTCTTTCATTTATTTTGCGGATGAGTCATACAGCATTCCTCCCGGGGGGAAATTCAAATATTATAAGAATAAGAATTGCATGACTTTGTCCTTCCTCCCATGATTCCTTGAGATTTATAAGAAGCAAGATTTGAGCATGATGTTCCATAATGATGTGCTCTTGTGTAAAAATGCACTGAAAAAAACTCCTATAAGGTGTAATTTATTTAATATTTAATGTTTTTAGTTGTAATTCTAAACCACATTTTTCATCGACGGGACAACAAACGCTCTTCTGTTTCATTCCTTTGACGTAGCTCATAATCTGGCGTTATTTTGACAGACTTTTCCTAGTTTTAAGTCTCTTAAACTACAGCCCACCCCACCAGCTGTCCTGGAGGAATTTATAAGGTGCTCCTCAATTGCTCGAAAAGGCTCCAAACAGTCTGGACAAAACCTGACCACCTTTGCTCTTCGTGTTCTTTGCTGGTCGTCTAATGACATGTGTCAGCCTTTCTCATTGGTTCGGCTGCCAAGCAGCAGCATATATTTAGCCTGGCCCTGTTGGGCAGGGCACCGCTGACCTTCAGGCCAAGTAAGACTATGTGGAATACTCGTTAAATGTGACAATGAGGTATGTCGTGTAAGTGTTTAAATATAAACACAAAACACAAATGAGTAATATGTGTGTGTGTGTATATCTATTATTTATTTACTTATTTAGTTTGTGTGCAGCTCTGTGACCCCGGAGCTGGGAGAGTGGATTCTTTAGATCTAATGAACAACAGTAGAGATCTCCATTATAGATCAGCATAGGTGTCCCAATCAAGACTGAAGCAAAACAAAATAAGTTTTTATTTTCTTTACAAAAGGTCTCATTTCCTTGATTGGATGGCTGTCCTGAGCTTCAGCTGTTCTACTGGTGAGAAATGGCCAACAGAAGTCTGCCATGGATCAGGACTGAGGCGCTAAGTGAAACCCAAACAACACTTGATCGAGATCTTTTTAGTTGAATTTTCTCTTTAATGCACGATGGACATCCATTTTTTTTAAGACTGGACACGGAGTGCAGTTCTGTAATCATCAGCGTTTTCGGAGGTTTAGCGCATGAATTAACACTGTGGCAGCTTGTAGTGACAAGTCACTGGAATCCGACGGTTGCAGTGCCCCACTTCCACCGTGCAGACTTTTGACAAATTCTGCTTTAATGAATTAAAGCGGTCTTGCAAACGCGGCTATTTTTAGGTTTGAGAGGCAAGAACCCCACGCAGGACAACTGAGTAATATTGTCTCTGTGCATTTCACAATCCCCCCGAAGCCCGAGTGTTTTAGTGCTGTTTCCTTATTGACGGACGTGTGCTGTGCTCAATGTATCTGGGTGAAAATGAACAGATAAGAAATGCCCTGAATGCGCGGCGCGTGTTCACTCCAAAGGCTGTAATTAACTTTTATGGAAGCTCGGGATAGGAAGTGACTGGAGAGAGTGGAGGGAGTTGGATGTAGCTGTTCAGTGTTACTGAACGCCTCACGCCTCTGCCTGCATGTAGGAGTTTTTATCTCTATCTCTAGATGTAGCACAAAATAAAACTTGGTTGGAACGTGCATTTCCTTGTCAGACATGAATGAGGAGGCTGCTGGTAATGATGTCACCCATCTACTGTGGACGGGGTTCCTTAAAGACAAACGTCTGAGCGTTTTTTAATGGTACAAAGTACCGCAGAAGCCAGAAGACATGACATAATGCTGTTTGCTTGTCAGTGGTCTTCAGTTCCAAAAGTATTCTGGTGGGACTTGCGTCAGGTGGGGGTGGGGGGGCTAATGGGTGGAGTGGAATGCTTCCTTGTATAGGCTCTTTGGGGTTTCAGGGCCTCCCGCCTCCCTCTTCCTCTCTCGTGCATGTCCAGGCTGCTTCAGTCACTCACCTGCCAGCAGAAACTGGAGGGAAGCTTCAGAAAGTTTTCAAAATGGAGGCTCTCAGCCAATAGTGAAACAGGAATCACGACAGA